AGCTGAGCTCTAACCGACCATGTTAGATGTCGATGCGAGCTCGAACCGCGTTTGTTCGATCTCGATTTGGGTTCTCACTGCCATGGTGAGAACTCGAATCGCCAACCCACCCTTCTCCCCATTCAGGGGTCGTCGTCCTGCCGCAACTCCTCGCCCCTGCCCCCTGGAGGTCGTCAGCCTCGCTCCCCATCTCCTCTTTGCACCCTTCTCCTCAGGCGTTGATCCGCGATCTCGGCCGCGGGGAGATGGCGGACCACCACGTCAGGGTGAACAAGAAGTTGAAGCCCACCGGCCACGAGATCCGCGTGGGCACGCCTCAGCACAGGCCTCCAGACGTCTTCTTAGGGAACCAGCGCGTCGCAGGAGAGTTCGACGCATGGCCTCTCGGGCGCGCGGCAACGGAGTTGCACTCGCGTCAGCCGCTCTCACCCCCAGAGAGGCCGATCTCCATGGACTTCTTGCAGGCCGTCACCGAATATGCTCGGCGTGGCGCTCGTCCGCCAGAATGACCGTCGCTGAAGCCAGAACCCAGAGCTTCCTGCAGCCGCCAGGCCAGGAGCTGCGCGCCCGCGTGGCCAGGCAGCAAGGCAAGAACGGGTTCGGCACGACAGCGGAGGCAGACCTCGACCCATATTTGCTCCACTTCATGCAGACATGCCCCAGCTGGGACAGCCTGGCCGAGAAGCGCCTGCTGACGGGAGCTACCGAATCGAAATGCGCGCGGAAGGATGAGGCGGCCCTGGGCTTGCAAACCGTGATCGCAGGCATCGTGGACGAAGATGGCCCCCCGAAGTGCCGCAGAATGAACAACGACGCGATCTTGTAGCTATGCCCGTCGACGCGCTTCGCCGCTTTCGCGCGGGCGATTCGGAAAAAGTGGCGCCCTCGGCTGAAACAGCTGGGATACAAGATGCGCGCGGCAATCGAGCACGACCATATGCCATCGGAGACCTACGGGAAGAACGGGGCGCCCATCTTGAAGAGGAACTTCGCCGACAACGCGTTCGCGCGCGCCTCCATCCAGCTCACGCAGCCAGGCGCACGGGACGATGGGTGGCACACCGATTGCGGGCGCAGCCCGTTGCACGCGTCGATGACGCCGTTCGGGACACGCTCCGTGGAAGTGAAGGTTGAGGGCCAACCACAAGTCACCCTCAAACAAGTGCCTGGCTCGTTCTACGCGGGCAACCTATCGGCCCACGAGCACGACGTCCGCCGCCACGAGGAGTGCGAGCACACCTGCGACGGAGCGGCTGTAACAGCCAGGGGCGACGACGGAGCTGCTGACCAGAACCATCGCCTGCAGATCGCCATCGCGATCCGCTCCGACGTGTTCCCCGACTTCAGGGCGCGCAGGATCAGCTCCACGCCGGGCCCTACGGAGTTCTTCCGCGTCGTCAACTACGCCGTGGCCGAGCATTTGTCCGATGTCCCCGTGGCGCCCCCTGGCCTGACCGAGGTGCTGACCGAACTTGCGCGCGCTGACCGCATCGGGCAGCGACATGCCACCGCTGCTGCCGGTGATAGCGACCAGGCACCGCCGGCGGCTCGACTGCAATAGTCCTGGACCCTTTTTCTGACGGAGGCCTCGAGTTTCGATGGCTTCAAAAACACGACGGAGAGGGGAGCCCTCGGGCTCACGGATGCTAGCGGGAGCTACGTCAGCCCCGACGCTCACCGACACTGTTGCCGCATTTGCGGCCGCCGACCTGGGGAACGAGTATGGTGTGCATACTGTGGGCGGCCTGTTGGCCCTGCATGCTGCCTCCTTGGTGAATTTCCGCGAGTCGTTCGGACGGGCGTTCGCATGGTGGCACAGCTCACTCGGACGCAGGTCATGTGAAAAAGATCAGCGTCATCACGAACACCACCTTCATCATCGTCAACGTCATCGTCATCTTCACCATCATCAGCGTCGCCGTTCATCGTCATATTTAACGCCATCGCCATCAGTAGCGCTATCGTTTCCAAGCCGTCACCATCGTCATGCATGTCATGATCCATGCGGGTAATATCCGATGATGATGGTGGCGGTGACGACGGTGACGATGGTGTTGAACACAACTATAAGGATGACGAGGGCGATTGCGCGGACGATGATGATAATGACGTTGATGATTAATGATAAGAATGATGTTGGTGATGAGCACGGTTTCGAGGTTGAGTCGGTTGAGTCCGAAAAGCCCGCCCTAAAGACAGCCTGTTCATCCACATGTGTGGGCTTGGTCGGGGTGATGCCTGGACCATGGATCGTGCGATCCAAGCAGGATCGCACGATCCATGGTCGCTAGCTGATCGGCACGACCTGTGTCCTCTCTGCAAAGCTGCTTCAGATTCGATGGATAATCGTTTATGGTGTTGTTCGGAGGTTCGACCGCTTTGGGGCGAAATGGCGGACCATGAGGTTAAAACCTGCTGCCAGAGCGACCGACCAGGACGATCGGCAGCAGCTCTTTCTTTATATTGGAGCTGTTTCCCACGCCCAGGCGACGCGTGGCTTCGCCCTCGCAGCGAAGGCGGAGCGCGTGCGTCTTGGGCCGGCGCCCCAAAGAAAAAGGACACCAACGTGTCGGGGGACATCTCCATTGACGGAAGTCGCGAGCGCAACAGAATTAAAGAGTTGGCTCGAGCAAGCTTGGGTTTTACAGCCCACTCTGAGTTTGGGGAGCTGTTGTGCATTGTTGATGGGCACATCTGGGCCCATCTCCCCAAAACCAGCGAAGCGGGGGAGTTCGGGGCCGTGGAGGCCGCCTCTCACCGTATTTCGGGGCCGTCTAGGGGGCACCCCGACTGCTCGAATGCGGCCCAGGCCATAGGGGGCCCCAGGCCTCGGCAACTCTCATGCAAACGCCCCTGCGCTGCCATGCTGTTTCCGGCCCTCTCTGCACCGTGGGTGGATTTCAGGAAGGTGAAGGCCCGCGCGCGGGATGGCGATGTCCACTCGTCCCAGGGCGCACGTTTCAAGACAGGCAATGATGCTGCCGATGCGGCGGCCAAGCTTGGTCTCAGACCACACCCGAGGCCAACCGACCACGAGCGCGAGATTTGACGCTGGCAACTACGAGTTTGAAAAACTGCGGTCAAGCTAGGAACACGGCCCCTTCCTGCGTGGCCGCGGCTGGACCTTTTTGGGCGTCGCGCGAATTAACTATTAAGGCCCCCAGGGAGGCCAGAGTTGGTGTTCCCACGATCGATCGCATTTGGTCGTGGTGCAGAACATACTGGAGGTGCGACCCTTGTTTGCGTTTCAAGCGTCAGAATAGCCGCCCCTCGCCGTCTGGTTGTTCTGGAGAGGCCCCCTTGTCGCTTTTCGGGGTGAAGGAACGAGGATCACAGTAGATCATAAGGTAATACCACATAGCAGAATATGTTATTATGATGATATACAACCTACGGCACTATAACACAACATAGTACAATTCAGCCCACTATAAAACAATATAATGAACGTAACATATCATATCACCACATGATTTATACAACAAATCGCCATATTATAACATTGTGTAAGAAATTTCCATACATTCAAAGCAGGCTTGGTATTCCCTGACGTCTAGTGGCTTACAATCCTTGAATGGTTGTGCGAATCGGTTGCAGTGCGCGTATCTGTTGGCGTTCGTTGGTTGGTTTAGGGTTCCAGACATGTCATTGCAAGTTGAAAGTTTGTTGGGTCGGGAGGTTATTGTTCGGCACAGATTCGCGGGCTTCTTTGCGGTGGAAGCTTCACATATCTGTTACGCATGCGTTCAGCAAGTTGCTCGGCATTCGTGGGTTCGTCCGATTTCAAAAATTTGATAATGTGTTATTCTCATGTATTCGGGAAGCTGTTCGGCATAAGCTCGCGGGTTTGCCGCATCGCCTTCCTCTTCCTCCTCCTCCTCCTCCTCCTTTCCTTACTCCCCTTGATATCGCTCATCCTCCTCCTCCCCCTCCAACCCGCAGCGCCGAACAGAAGCATAGACGTGTCCCTCTTGGTTTCGCTCATCCTCCTCCCCCCCATCCTCAATTCTCGTCCCCCCCCTGCCTCCTTCTGCCCGTGTTTCTCCTTCTTCCCCCTCCTCCTGCTCCCCCGCTTCCTTCCCCTTTTCGTCCCCAACTCCCTCCCCTCCCCTCCCCATCCTCCCCCCTCCCCGCACCCTCCCTCCCTCTATCCCATCTCCCCTCCCTGCTGTGCGAAAACATATCCGTATGAACGGCCTCGCGGGCCAGGCCCTTGGGCCGCGATCCCGCGGATACGGTGCGTTTGTTCGCGGATGCCCCGCGCGAAGCGTACCCATGCGACCGCGCATTTGCGGGATCGCGCCCGGGCACCCATGCCGCAAGGGCGCGGACGCGGATGTGTTCGCAGCACGTGGTCCGTGTCCCTTCGCAGGCCACCCGCCGCGGAAATGTGACACACGAGGCTCTCGTGCCGACCCCAACGACGGTGTCTCACCGACGCGAAACACACAGAACATGTTAACCGCCCTGATTGTCCGGCACCCAGGAGACCGTCGACGTGGAACCCAAAAAGCCTCCCCCCCTCTCACCCCAGCCCCCTCGCCCATCCTTCACCCCACCCCCTCCCTTTCCCCTGACCCACCTCCACCTGGCAGTCGTCCGGGATTGCGTTTCCCATGATTAAAAATTATGGGAAACGCAATTCGGGCTCATCGAGTACGGTTTTTTTTAAGGAAAATTGCGCTTCCCATAATTTGCAGGGCATCCTCACCTCCTCCCTCCCATCGCACCCCTCTCCCTCTCCTCTCACCCATCCTCCACCTCACCTCCTCCCCTGACTCTCTCCCTCTCTCCCCCCGAGGCCAACCCTGGTAGCTGCGTGCAGCCGCCCTTTCTCGCTTGGCACCGACTCCTCGCCGTCCTTTTTCGTGTAAGTAGTGTATCTCAACAGTCTCGCTTCGTGCCAGAGCAAAGAAGACATATCATCGCCTCGCGTGGGCGGCACTGTCTCTGGTACGCCTCCCCCGTCCTTCCCTTCCCCGCCCCCCCCCCCGCCCGAGGCTGGGCCTCTCCGTGTTCCTGCACGACGCGCCCGGGGCCCGTGGGGACGCCCCGCCTTCTGCGGCGGAAGCCTCCTCCGGCGGGCAAGAAGGGGAGGACAGGGAGGAGGAGGGCGAGGAGGAGGAGGAGGACGAGGAGGAGGGCGAGGAGGAGGAGGACGAGGAGGAGGACGAGAAGGGGGGGGAGGCCGAGAAGGACGCGGAGGGGAGGAGGAAGAGGAGGAGGAGGAGGAGGAGGAGGAGCAGGAGGAGGAGGAGGAGGAGGAGAAGGAGGGCTGTGGCGAGGACAGGGAGGAGGAGGAGGAGCAGGGAGGACGGGGAGGAGGATGGAGATAAGGAGGAGGAGGATGAGGAGGAAGAGAAGGAGGAGGAGGAGGAGGAGGAGGAGGAGAAGGAGGAAGGTGAGGAGGAGGAGGAGGAGGAGGAGGAGGAAGAGGACCAGTGTAAACCCACGACTCGTCAACGATGTTAGAGTACCCCTTTCCTCCAAGCTCCCACTTCATAGACCCCTACGAGGGTTCATTTCCACTGAGGGAAGTGCGCCGTTGGGGGGGCAACCGTGTGACCATCCTGACGTGTGCCAAAGCACCAGTATCAGGGTTTCAACGCCACGAGTCAACCTAATTATTGCGTCTTGACGGTCCTGAATCGTGCCAGAATGCAATTCCTGGGAGTTCAACACCGCGAATCAACGTACCTGTTGCGCCATGACAATCCTGAATCGCTCCAAAACACCACTTCTGCAATGCTGGCCATAAGAACCTGCGACACTTGTTACAATTTCTTTAAACGGATGTGCGCGGCACTAAGGCGGGAACCACATTTTGAACACGAGCCGTCCTCAATTGTTTGAAGTTCTTGCATGTTCTACGTGCGGCGCTAAGGCGAGAGCCACAGTTTGAAAAAGAACCACCTTCAACCCGTGAATTCCCTTGCACATGTTTAAAAAGAGTGCGTGTATTGGTGAGGTGAGAGCCATATGTTGAAATCGATGTGTCTTCAATCCGTGAAACCCTTGCAGCTTTTGTTTAACGGATCCGCGTTGCGCCTAGGGGAGAGCCACATGTTGAAAACGACGTGGTTTCAATCCGTTAATATGTTGCACATGTTTAAGGCGAGTTTGCGCAGCGCTAAGGCGAGAGCCACAGTTCGGAAGGGGGTTGCCTTCCATCTGTGAAGTTATTGACAGTTTTCATGTCGCCCATCATTGGTAAGGAATTCTTTGGCGAAACACCCAGCCCGCCCTTCTCGATTGGCTTCGGGGTGCGACAGGGAGGAGTTATTCATGAGGGAGAGCGGGGGGGCGAGGAAGGGCGGCAGGACGAGGTGGAGGACAATGAGCAGCGGCAGGAGGAGAAGAATTGGAAGGAGGAGGAGGAGGAGGCAGAGGAGGAGGAGGATCGAGGAAACGCAACCATGGATCAAGGCAAGTGTGTTACCGACGAGCCCGCTTCCATACAGAATCGGCGCGCCCCGTTCCCACACAGTGTTACAGCGATCGAAGTCGCTACGGAAAGAATGGTAGCGAAGATTGACAGGGAGGAGGAGGAGGAGGAGGAGGAGAAGGAGGAGGAGGAGGAGGAGGGCTTCGATGCCGGCGCCGCCGCAGACGTTGTTCGTTTGAGGCAGACGGTCGACTGTCCAACGGCGCCCCCTGCCGGATTTGAACAGCGTTTGGTGTTGGGCACCGCGCGCATCGTTTGCCCAGCCGTTTCGGGAGTGCTGGACGGAGGTGGGAGGAGATCGGAGGGGCGGGGGGAGGATCGAGGTCCGAGGTCCGAGGGGGAGGAGGTGTTTCTCCACGGTCGGCGTCTGCAGGCCAGTTTTGGGCCCTTGAACTGAAACATGGTACACCGTCTATGCCATTTCCCTTCCCTCCGTCCCCATATGGTTCCTCCCTCCTGGTCATATCATTCATTCCCTCGGCCAGTTACTTCTCAACCGCCTGTGTGTTGTCATGTCCCGTAGTCTTATCATGCTTGTGTCATCATCATCATCAACAACAACATCATCATCATTCGTTTTGATCATCATCAGCATCAGCATCATCATCATCATCATCCCTCTCATCCACGTCCTTGTCAATCAGAGCCGAGGTCTAGCGACTACGAGGTGAAACTCGTGCCGCCGTTTCTGAACTACTGTTACCTGCCGCTGGTCGCGCTTGCTTGCCTTTCACCTCCTGCTTATCCTGCTTATCCGTTTGAACATTTGAGATACACAGGCGCATATGTGTGAGCCAGCGTGGTTCCCAAACCGTTGTTTGTTTATCAATATACGGTGTTCACTCTATGTGGGGCAATATCTGTTGTGCAATATGTGTCATACAATATATGTGAAGCGCAATGTCTGCAGTGCAGTCACTGTTGTGCAATATAGGTGGTGCAAATATGTGGTGCAACCAATGTAGTCCGCAAGTTATGCGGTGCAGTCGCCTTGGTGCAATCTAAGTTGTGCAATGAATGTTGTGCTACCTATATGGTGCAATACATGCAGTGCAATCTATGCGACGCAATAAATGTGGTGTAATCTAGGTGGTGCGCTTATATGGCGCAATCTCCTGGTGCAATATCTGTTGTGCACTAGATGTGGTGCAATCGATGTTGTGCAATATGTGTTGTGAAACCTGTGTGGCGCACTATACGCAGCAATCTACGTTGTGAGAGTCAGGCGGCGACGGGGGGGCCAGACGACGAGCGGCGACGGGGCGGCGATGCCGGCCACATAGACGCTAGACCGACAATCAGGCCCAGACGACGGACGGCAACGGAGCGGCGATGGCCACCACATTGCCGCCAGACCGAAGACATGGCCCAGACGACGGGCGGCGACGGGGCGGCGACGGGGCGGCGACGCTGGCCACATAGCCGCCAGACCGAAGACACGACCCAGACGACCGGCGGCGACGAGGCGGTGACCTGGCGGCTACGGCGGCCATAGAGTCGCCAGACCGCCAGACCGTGTGTGTGTTTGTGTGCGTCGAGGTGTGTGTGTGTGTGTTTGTGTGTGTCTGTGTGCGTGTTTGTGTGTGGGTCTGTGTGTGCGTCCGCGTGTGTCTCTGTGTGTCTGTGTGTGTGACTGTGTCTGTGTGTGTGTCTGTGTGTGTCTGTGAGTGTCTTTGTGTATGTGTCTGTGTTCTGTGTGTGGGTGTCTGTGTGTGTCTGCGTGTCTGTGCGCGTGTCTGTGTGCGGGTGTCTGTGTGTCTCTGTGTGTGTCTGTGTGTCTGTGTGTCTGTGTGTGTGTGTCTGTGTATATGTGCGTTTCTGTTTGTGTGTGTCTGTGTGTATGTGTGTGTGCGTGCGTCTGTGTGTATGTGTGCGTGTGTCTGCGTGCGTCTGTCTGTGTGCGTGTGTCTGTCTGCGTGTGTCTGTCTGCGTGTGTTTGTGTGCGTGCTTTTGTGTGCGTGTGTCTGTGTGCCTGTGTCGGTTTGCGTGCTGCTGTGTGTGTGTGTCTGTGTGTGTTTCTGTCTGTGTGTGTGGCTGTTTGTGTGTCTGTGTGTGTATGTCTGGATGTGTGTCTGTGTGTGTTTGTGTGTCTGTGGTATGTGTGTCTCTGCGTGTGTGTGTGTGTGTGTCTGTGTGTGTCTCTGTGTGTGTGTCTCTGTGTGTGTGTGTGTCTGTGTTTGTGCCTGTGTGTGTCCGTATGGGTGTCTGTGTTGGTGTGTGTCTGTGTGTGTCTGTGCGTGTGTGTGTGTGTATGTGTGTGTCTGTGTGTGCCTTTGTGTGTGTGTTTGTGTGTGCTTGTGTGTGTCTGTGCGTGTGTGCGTGTGTCTGCGTTTGTCTGTGTGTTTTGTGTGGGTGTGTCTGTGTGTGTGTCTGCGTGTCTGTCTCTGTGTGTCTCTTTGTGTCTGTGCGTGCCTGTGTGTGTGTGTCTGTGTGTGGGTGTCTCCGCATGTGTCTGTGCGTGGGTGTCTTTGTGTGTCTGCCCATGTGTGTCTATGTATGTGTCTGTGCGTGTGGGTCTGTATGTGTATATGTGTGTGTGTCTGTGTGTGTGTCTCTGTGTACGTCTGTGTGTGTTTTTGTGTGTCCGTGTGTGTGTGTGTCTCTGTGTGGGTCCCTGTGTGTGGGTCTCTGTATGGGACTTTTTGGGTCTGTGTAGGTCTGTGGGGGGTGGGTGCGTGTGGGTGTGGGTGTGGGTGTAGGTGTGTGCGTGTGGGTTTTGGTGTTGTGTGGTGCGGTGTGGTGTGGTGTGGTGCGTCGGTGTTGATGTTGCTGCTGGTATTGCTGTTGCTGTTGCTGCTGCTGCTGTTGCTGTTGCTGTTGCGGCTGATGTTGCTGATGGTGTTGGTGCTGGTGTTGGTATTGGTGTTGATGTTGGTGTTGGTGTTGGTGTTGGTGCTGATGCTGGTGTCGCTGTCGGTGTCGATGTCGGTGTCGATGTCGGTGTGGGTGGTCGTGTCGGTGTCGATGTTGGTGTCGGTGTCGGTGTCGGTGTGTTGGCGTGTTGGTGTGTGGGTGTGTGTGTGGGTGTGTCTGTGTGTCTGTGTCTGTGTCTGTGTCTGTGTCTGTGTGTGTTGTGTGCGTGTTGGTTTGTGTTGTGTTGTGCTGTGGTGTGGTGTGGTCTGCGTGTGTGTGTGTGAATGAGTGTGTGGGTGTGTCTGGGTGTGTGCGTGTGGGCGGAACGCCCTGGCCTGAGTTGAACGCCCAGGCGCACCCCCCGCAGACGTAGGTGCAGGCACCCCGCAGCGCGCCGTCCCCCCCCCCGCTATGAACTTCCCTGCTGGCGCGCCCCGTGGGACTTCCTGGGCGGGCGGCGCAGCTGGCAGTGCAGAAACCAGGTCAGCAGAGCGGCAGCCCGACAGCGATCCCTTGGACTACGACGGAATCAGCAGCGACAGCCCGCGCCGCGGACATCGACCTCCTGGCGCTGGGCCGTGCGCCGACGGCTGCGGAGGCGCGGGTGATCTACGGCCAGGTGGCGAGCGCGTGGCAGTATTACTTCCAACTTTCTTGGTGTTGTTGCAGTGCGTTGCTTGTTTCGGCGTTGTCTTGACAGGCCGGACGCTGCTGTGGCCAAATTCGTTCGCAAGGTCCTCGAGAAGCCATGGCAGTACGTGCGCGGGTGCATGGCACGACGCCCCACTGGACCCATCCCTGGCGCCATTCCGTTCCCCAGCCCAGCAGTGCTGCCCTGTTGGCATGCGCCCGATGTTCGTTGCCCCGTACGGCGCTGTCGGAGCACTGGTGGATTTCCACAGGCCTCATCGCGGGCTCTCGGGGAACAGTGGAGACGGAGTAGTGGAGCCGTGGAGACGGAGTAGTGGAGCAGTGGAGCCGTGGCACCCGTACGGCGCTGTGGAGCTGTGGAGACGGAGTAGTTTTTCGCCTCGTCGCGGGCGCTCGGGGAGGATGGTAGGGGGGCTCGGCGCAGCTGCACATCTCGCGCGGTGTTCTACCCTTCCGCGAGCGGAGGTCGGCGGTTTCTGAGCGCGTTCGCACGGGAGCACCGAGCAAGCTCTCGCTCGTCCCCGCTCCTTCGTCTCTCTTCCCCGTTGCGCCCGCCTCCGCTCCTGGGTTGTGGGTCGGGGTCCTCGCGGAGGCGTCTGGAGGGCTCTCGGGGTTCCCTGGGGAGCAGTTTGGGGGTCCTCTTGGAAGCGTCCCGGGGGCATGTTGGGGGCATCCTGGGGCTCTCTTGAGACACCTTGGGGTCATCGTGGGGATGTCCGGGTGCTCTTGGAGGGCTCGTGGGGGCCTCCTGGGCGCCTCTTGGGGCCGAGGGCTCGAAATGTCCGCCTCTCAGGGCCAAGGGCTCGAAATCTCCGCTCGGGATCCCCATCTGGGCCGTCTCGTGGGGTCGTCCTGGGGTCCCTTCCGGCCGTCTTGGAGGCCGTTTTGGGACCCTCTTGGGCCGTTTTCGGGCCCCGGTCTCTCGAGCCGTCTTGGGGCGATCTCGGGTCGGGGGCCGTTTTGGAGCGTCGGGAAGACGAAATGGCGAGAACGCCAAAATCTTCCGGGGTGTTCTGGGAGGCTCCCGGGGGCATCTTAGGGGTCTCTTGGGCTGCCTGGGGGCCATATTGTGCGTCTTGGAGCGGTCTTGTGATGTCCCTAGTCATTTTCACGAAGGCCTCCCAGGAGTTGACTCCTAACGCCCCCGTCCCAACCCGTTCCCCCTCGCGGCGCTGGCAGGCAAAAGGGCGAGTCCAGGTCTGGCAATTCTCTCGCTTTGTTCCTCCCCTTCAGGGCTCGTTTCGATTCCTCCGATTCGATTCGATTCGATCCCGATGGATTCCGATTTCGGCTCGGTTCGATGTCGGATTCCGATTCGGGCTCCGATTTTTCGTTGGAGGTTTATTAGTGTGCCGATGTCTGGCGATTCGATGTTTCGCCTCGGCTGCCGATTTCCGCCGATCCGATTCACGTAGATCGCCGATCCGACTCATCGATTCGATTGCGGGCTCCTCCCCTCCCTCTCCCGCTCACCCGTCGGAGGCGGAGGATGGAGGCGGAGCAGCAGGAGCAGGAGGAGGCGGAGCAGGGACGATCGAGGAGCAGGAGAGGAGCAGAGGAGGAGGCGGAGGATGGAGGCGGAGCAGCAGGAGCAGGAGGAGGCGGAGCAGGGACGATCGAGGAGACGCAAACACGGATCGGGGCGCGTAGATCAGCGGCGGGCTCCGCCTTCCGGCGCTGGAACGGGCGGCCTCGGCGCCACGTTTCGGGGGGCACGTGCCCCCAATCCGTGGACCTGGCGCCCACGCCCTGGCATTGCTCGGGCGTGTGCACTTTTTCTCGGCGAGGGCGATCGAGGAGCATCCTTGATCATGTGGCGACAAAACCACGCACGAAACCGAAAAAAACACAGGGAATGGACGTCCGAGCGATGGCCAGACGCGCTTGACCACACGAGACCCCCGAGGGAAGGGGAGGACGTCGGCCGGCTTCGGCGCTCTTGGGGGGCCGCCTGCGCAGCATTCGTCGCCGCGGCCGCGCCTGCCTCCCGATCCTGGTCGGCACGCGTTCCTGGAGAGGTCCGGGGGCAGAGTGCGGGCGATATGTTCATCCACATCCAGGCGCTGGAGCCCCTGAGCTCGCGAGGTGCGGCAGGCTCACGTGGCGCTGGCGCGCCGGCGACGCCGTTTGAAGGCGTTCCAGGTTGAGTTCTGTTACGCAGCAGCACCGATGGACCAGACTCAACCTCGAACGATCGTGGCCGCGATCGATTCAAGATTCGAGCAGTGGCGAAGCGTCCTGGCTCGCCTCTAGCCCTATCAGACAATGTTATAAGAACCGATTGTGGTTTCCACGAAATGTTCTGAGAACATTTCTGGCGGGGTCTGCATTGCTTTATCACATCGGGCTTATGTTCTAAGAACATTGCTTTGGTTCTTAGAACATGTTTGTCGGTTCTAAGAACATTTCGTGGCAGGACTATAAGAACGCCGGGACGGTCGGTCCCTGCTCAACCGATGGACCAGATTCAACCTCGAACGATCGGGGCCGCGATCGATTCGAGGTTGAGCGATCGGCGCGGTGTCGAGAGCCGCTGCGCGCGCCGACGCCGCACGAGCCTGCCGTGATCAGCAGCACGCTTCGCACGCGGTGAGTTCGTGTTGTTTCGGCGCAGCTGCAACCCCTGCGCGGGCAGTCCAGATTGAGCGCCGCCAGTAGTCAAACATCGGCCAATATGGAACAACTTGGCAATCGAAACGCCATCGATCGTTCACGGTGCAACCATCCACGCGATGTCAGGAACCAACGCGCAGGTCTTCACGATACGAATTTGCCGTATTTCAGCCGCTTGCACATTGCTCGTCGTTTGTCCAATTGGCACATGCGACCACAGTTGAGGCGAAGGGGGTGCAAAGAGTACCGATAGGACCACCCTACGAGTGATCAGGAGGTTTGGGGGGGATGGAGGGAGGCGGTCGATTTGCGATGGCTCTGGTTTTTCGTGGTTGCTTCACTTTTCCTATTGTCGCACACATCTATCCATCTATATATATGTGTATATATATATATATCGACCTCTAGATAGGGTTATCTATTCGGGACACCCATCTGTCTTTATATATATATAAACAAGTATATATCTATCTGTATATATAGATATCGACCTGTCTATATATATATATATATGTATATGCATCCATCTCTAAATAGAAGAATGTAGGTTATATAGATACATGTGGCAATATGGCACGCTGACACCGCTTGGTAGTTGTCACGATGGTGGCATGGGCGAGCCAACCATCGGGGCAACCATCGGGGCAATCATCGGGATAACCATCTCTCTACAGACATGTATATGTATATATGTTATAGCTATCCATGTATAGAAATACAGGTATGCATATCTATATATATATATATATACATATGTGTTTACATATATGCATGTAACTACATATCACTCTGTTTATATGCACACATGTTCATGTATCGATATGTTTATATACCTTACTGTGTGTACATATGTGTGTATATGTCTACTATATCTCTGTATATGTATACGTTTCTATACTTGTCTCGATCGATCGATGTATGCATAGTTTTACCTTTATATACATATACTGTATTAATATTTATATCAATAGAAATGGTCCACCATCGGGACAACCATCGGGACAGTCATCGGGACAACCATCGGGACAGTCATCGGGACCATCGGCGCTCGGGGGGGGAGGGGGGGCGGCCCTTTTGGCAATGGATGGCCCCTACCAGAGCAGGAACTCGCGCAGCTTCGCCTCGCACGCACGCGCGACACGAAGCGAAACCGACACCGATCTCCCGGTTGGGGTCACTTCCACTCCAACCCCCCAACCTCCGATTCGAGATTCTCCGTCACCAGCACAGAGTTCGCTATTCTGCCCATGTCGTGTGCTTATTCGCGCGCAGGCCATGCCACCAGAGGTCCATGATCCGATGGGAGCGATGAAGCTGTGTGCCTTGGGCATGGAGGCCTTCAACGTGTGATGCTTTTCTCTCTACACACATACCAGCATTGAAACAAATGCGTATGAACGTGCCAGTGTATAATCACATGATATGTTCCGTGTTGTTATATGTGGATGGTGTTCCGCGTTCTGTTTGCATTGAACCCCTTGAGCGTGCTATTATTCAGTTGCCTACGGCAAGTCCCGCCACCATGCTTGGGTTGTGGGATCGAAGCCTAGTGGATGTTCGTTGGAGTCTCGCGGGAGGCCTCTCGGGGGTTGCTTGGAAGCAGTTTTGAGGCCTCGTGGGAGCAGCTTTGGGGCCCCTTGGGGACCTCTTGGGGGCCTCTTGGAGCTTTCTTGAGGCCTCTTGAGGCCTCCTGGGGCCTCTTGGGGCGGAAGGCTCGGATGTTGGATTCGGCTCTTTAGGGCCGTCTTGGAGCCCTTTGGCTCGTCTTGGGCGCATTTTGGCTTGTCTTGGGGCGCTCTTCGGCCGTTTTGGGGCCCTTTGGGAGGCGTATTGGGCAGTTCGGGGACGGTCTTGGGAGCCTCTTCGGCCGTCTTGGAGCGTCGGAAAGCCGACAAGGCGAGAACGCCAAAATCCTTCAAACACGCAGGGAAAATTCATGAGTTTGGCCCTCGGGGGCGCTCTTGGGAGACCTCTTCGAGGCCCACTGGGGCGCATTGGAAGCCTCTTGCGCCATTATGAGGCCATCTTGGGCGTCTTCGAGCGACCCCTCGGCGACTCGGGGCCCTCTTGGACCGTCTTGGGGGCCTCGGGGGGGGGGGGGCCTGGGGGCCCTCCTGGCCCGACTCGGGGCCCTCTTGGCCAACCAGGCGGGAACACCTCCCGAAGCCCAGGGGGGTGCGCGCCAGGCCCCGCCAAGCTTTTGGATGTGGCGCCTGGGTCCTTTAAAGACTCCTCCTCCTCCTCCTCCTCCTCCTCCTCCTCCTCCTCCTCCTCCTCCTCCTCCTCTCCTCCTCCTCCTCCTCCTCCTCCTCCTCCTCCTCCTCCTCCCCCCCTCCTCCTCCTCCTCCTCCTCCTCCTCCTCCTCCTCCTCACGAGCGAGGACTGAGGCCCAGAGAACTGTGCAGCGGGGCCCGAGGACGCGCCCACTCCGTGCCCAGAGGCACGGTGGGAGGAGGAGGAGGAGGAGGAGGAGGAGCGGAATTCTTGGTTCCCCCATCCAGGTGTCGCGAGAGGATCGCGCCAGGCTCTTCCCGGCGCCGCGAGGAAGACACGACGGGTGGTCTTCTTTCTCCAGGCTTGCCCAGCGGGTTCTCGCTGCAGGAGTAGAGTTGTTCCCTCGGCCCAGGTGCTCCGGGCAGGAGGCTGCGTCTTCCCAGCCGTCCTGTGGTGTTGGGTCTTCGTTTTGAAGAGACAGCACCCCGCGTCTCCCACCTCTCCTCCTCTCAGAGGCGACGGTAGGGGCGAATAGCCCAGGGGAGGACAACACGTGTATTCAGGTGCGCCGATGATCTATGTCTTCGAAAAGGCCCCCGGGCGAATACGTGTAATGCCCGCCCCTGGGCTATTCGCCCCTATCGTCGCCGCCGATCCTCCTCCCGCTCTTCCTTCCTCCACATCCTCCTCCCCCCTCCTCCCGTCCCTGCGCCTGCCCTCCGCACCGGCCAACCACTTCGGCGCACCCGCTCCACCGAAGGCCCCAGCGGCTGGTGTCGCGTGCGGCTCCCCACCCGTACAGCCGCCCGTGGCCCCGTAGAAGGCTTCACCGAAGGCCCCAGCGGCTGCTCTCGCACGAGATTCCCCCACCCAGTGCACTGTTTCGAGGCCCCACACTTCGGCGCCCCACCCAGCACAGCGATTCGAGGCCCTTGGTATCGCTCGGACGTGTGTATTTTTCCTTCGGCGAGGACCATCGGGGAGCATCCTTGATCATTTGGCAAAAAACCACGCACGAAACCGACAAAAAACACAGGGAACGGACGTCCGAGCGATGGCCGGTCGAGGCCCCACTTTTCGGCGCCCCACCCAGCACAGCGACTCGAGGCCCCCTACGGGCCGTCATGGAAGCCCCGGAGAGCCCCGGGGAGGCGCCATGGCCGCCCAGAGAGGCCCCCCCGTGGGAGCAGGGGTGGTGCAGGCGGGTTCCCGCAGAGGGGCGGCCCCTCAGAAGATTACAGAAGCCCTCCTCCTCCTCCTCCTCCTCCTCCTCCTCCTCCTCCTCCTCCTCCTCCTCCTCCTCCTCCTCCTCCTCCATATTCCTCCTCCCTCCTCCTCCTCCTCCTCCTCCTCCTCCTCCTCCTCCTCCTCCTCCTCCTCCTCCTCTGGAGCCTCTGGAGCCTCTGGAGCCTCTGCGGACACAATCCCTCATTGAAAGACTGGCCCGAAGGGGGACCGCGCTCAGACGAGGACCTCCCTGACACCCTCGACGAAGCGCACGACGGCCGTACCACGGACTGAACGAGATCACGGAATAACCACCAGCATCAGTTCGTACGTGCCAGGTCCTTGATGCAACCTCCCTTCCGCCAAGACCAAGCGCATCCCATACAACACAGCAACTGAAACCGTAACTCCCACTTCGTGAACCATGAATCCGTGGACTGCCGACCCGTAGCCACACATTTGACCGAGGCCAGACACGAAGAAAATGAATTCCCGCTGAGAACGTTGCCCAGCTGGTTCAGCAGGTACTTGAAGCCGAGGGCGTCAATGGCCTCCGACTCGTACAGCTTGTCTGCGATGCCCCAGGTCAGAGGGTCATCACGTCCACGGCGAGAGCCTCCACGAGCTTCGTCAGAGACTCCTCGTCCAGCGGGGGCGCCTTGGTCTTGTACAGGCCTTCCGACTGAGAGTTGAAGAGGTCCTTCATGGTCTCGGCGCCTTCTCCTTGCCCCGCGCCGCCACCAGGGAGGCCCATGGAGGCGAGGGGGGGAAGGAGGCCCCCCTGGGCACCGACAAAATGCCGGATTTTCCGCCGCGCGCCACCGCTAACGACGTGCCCGTCTCCCCGCCCCGCCGCGCGCCCCGAAGGAGACCCGACGCGAGGGCGGCGCCACTGAGCCTGTGTCTTGAGCCAAATCTTGAGCCAAATGGCTTGAGCCAAAATGGCTACGGATCTCCTCCTCCTCCTCCTCCTCCTCCTCCTCCTCCTCCTCTTCGTCCTCCCTCCTCCTCATATTCCTCCCTCCTCCTCCCTTCTCCTCCTCCTCCTCCTCCTCCTCCTCCTCCTCCTCCTCCTCCTCCTCCTCCTCCTCCTCGGCATCCGTCCACACCTCAACGTGCCGGTCGGGCCACCCTGCAGGGGTATCCCACGACTTATGTGCAGCCGCGGGGCCGATACGTTTTTCCAGGGGAGTCCGTAGCATTGGCATTCTCTACTCCTGCCCGATTTGTCTGATGCTGGGCGAGCATCGCGTGGTTTCGGTGCTGCGAATGAGCGTCCCAAAAAAAATCCCAACGTGCCGCAGGCACGGTGGCGGATTCCTCTTGGGAGGCCACGGTGGGCCATCTTGTCCGTCTTGGAGGCGAGCTTTCCGGTTCTTCCTGGCCCAACGCGCGGCCGGCCCTGGTCGGGCGGCCGAGCCCCTGCGGGTGAGTGTTGAAAGATCCGCAGCAGTCAAGATGTAGCACGCCAGGCACCCCTGTGGCAAGACCACAGCTGCGGCGGATCGAAGACGCCGACGGTAAATCACCGCCGCCCCCGCGGCCAATGGCTGGGCTGAAGTATGGCCAAGCTGTCGGACTATTTGTGCCCCCAGCCGTTGTGGAGCCTCTTGGGTTGAACATTTGGGAGAGAAAGAGGCAGGATGCGGAGAGAGAGAGAGAGAGAGAGAGCGAGAGAGAGAGAAGGAGAGCGAGGAGGAGGAGGAGGAGGAGGAGGAGGAGGAGCAGGAGGAAGAAGAAGAAGGAGAAGAAGAAATGGAGGCCTCTTGAGGCCCTCTTGGGGCCTCCTGGTGGCTTCCTGGGAGCCTCTTGGAGGCATCTGAGGGGCCTCTTGCGGGCTTCTTGGGGTCTCGTGGGAGCCTCCTGGGGCCTCTTGGGGGAATCTTCGGAGCTTACGCTGGCCTCTGAGGGACCTCTTGGCCTTCGGAGGCCGTCTTGGGGCCCTCTCTGGGCAATCGTGGGTCCATCTTTGGGCGCTGTAGGGCCGTCTTCGAGGTCTATGCGGCCATCTTGGCGGCTTCTTGGGCCGTATCGGGGCCATCTCGGGCCGTTTTGCGGGCCTCTGGGGGGCCTTTTGGGGTGATCTTGGGGGCCTATGGGGCCGTCTTTGAGCGTGGGAAGCCCGAACACGCGAGAACGCTAAAATCATTGAAAAACATATGAAACATCAATGACATTGGTCTCCTGAGCCCTCTTGGGGTGTCTTAGGAGCCTCCTGGGACGCTTGGATGGCACCGTGGGCCGCCTTGGGCCCGTGCATGCCGTCCTGGAGGCGTCTCAGGACCCTCTTGGAGGCCATCGAAGCCGTCTTCGAGGCCGTCTTGGCCGTCTTGGGGCCATAGAGTGGGGGCGCGCATCAAGAAACCATATGTTTTTCATCAGGGTATCCTGGGTTGCTTCGCTCCGCGAGCTGCGCGGTGACTTCCCGCGGCCGTTAAGAAGTTGCCGCGTTCAGGGTGCTCCGGGTTTCCCCTCAGGCGCACCTCGCGTGCGGGTTTGCAGGGCTGGGTTTTTCTTGCGATGGGTTTCTTGCGGCCGCGCCCGCACTGTAGTTGAGGCCATCTTTCGGGGAACAAGAAGTGACATAAACATAAAAACTCGGAGGTCCGCGCGGATTTCTCGGATCGGCGCTGGGGCCCCCCGGCGGCGCCTCTGGCGCCGCCCCTGGCGCGCTCCGCGCGCCAGGGAGGGGGGTCCTGCGCCGATCCGAGAAATCCGCGCGGACCTCCGAGTTTTTTTATGTTTATGTCACTTCTTGTTCCCCTCATCTCAGGCGAGAAAAAGCTGGCGGGAGAGACCCTCTCCGCACGCCCCGAGCCCGAGCGGCAGAGGCTGGCCCCACCGGGGACCCTGGCAGCTCGGCACGCCGCGCGCCCCTGTGGCAAGCCACAGGT